CTCTCGCTCTCTCTCTCTCTCTCTCTCTCTCTCTCTCTCTCACTCAATCGCGATATATTAAGTGAATAATTTTGGTAGCATGTAATATTAGATGTAAGACCAGTACTACGATGTCTTCTTTTATCGAAAAAGAAATCGGTCTCGAAATTTCGCGTGGATGTAATACATCATGTGTGTTTCGATTATTCAGTGATGAAGATAATCAAGATGATTAAGATTATGAAGAGAATCTATCTGGGTTACTGCAATATACAACTTTTTAAAGGTGAGACAATTTGCTCTATTAAATCTATATGATATGTATATTATTATTAAGAATTAGTTTGCTTTTATCGTGACTTGTGTTATTGCGTAAATTTCTCAGTGGCATTTTTTTAAAGACAATTTTGTGGCGTAAATTGCGTTTGCCGAGAACACCCCTGTTTTATTATCAGTAGGATGTTGTTTTGTTTTAATAAGATTTGTGAATGTGGTGGATCCAGAAACGTAGACATCAGTCGGAAAGATACTGGGCGGAATGGTTAGCTGGTAGATCAAGAGTGTTGAATAAACGTGTAAAGATTTGATAATAATGAGTGCATGGGGGGGGGGGGGATCGATTGGTGCATATACGCGTCTGCCAGTGTGCGTTTTGAGTATGATGAACTGAAGCTAAATGTGTGTAAATGATATTGGAATGGTGTGATGAAGCATGGTGGGTGGGATGGGTCAAAGGACGGCTGAAAATCTGGTAAGTCCTGGTATACGCGGGGATCAATTGGAATGAGACGTGGTGAAAGAAGATGGGCTGAACTGGAATGGAATTAAAGTGCGACATGCAAATGTTGTTAAAGCTGCCTTCTTCATTCTGGGAATGTGGTGGGGGCTGGTTATTATTGGTTGCAAGCAACAACTTTGCGACTCCGAGTGAAGCCAAATAAAACGTAGCACTTTGCACTATCGTCATTATTGGTAATCACCATCACGATCACCATCGTCAGCATTATCATCACTACAACACAAAAGCAAAAGCAAAAGCAAAAGCAACCTCTTCACCGCCTGTTCGTTGACGTGCTCAAACAGATACTTCCGGTCACGTAGCATTGTTGTTGGGTTTTATCCTTTCAGGGAAGCCGAGCTCTTTGGCGGATTATCGGGGATGTTGCGACAAATACTGTCGCCCTCTCCGGAGAGTGGTGAACTTATTCTCGCCGGTTACTGCAATTTTATCCCTCTATCCCCTCCGACGATAACGACGACGACGTCGACGTCGACGTCGACGGCGACGGCGACGACGACGCCTTTTCTTCACGCAATGCTGCCTCTGGCGCTCGAGATCGGCCATGGAGGCAGCAGATCACTCTTATCCAGCCTACACTCCATTACCGAAACCTCCAACGTCCCCTTTGACTCTTCAACCTCGAGCATTTCTGCTGGCACGATTACGTCGAACGCTCCTGGGAACGTCGCTATCGGCATCGCTACTCCCATTGATCATCAGGTCAACGTGGACCATCGTCGAATTATAAGAGAGTCGCACGTCTGTCCTACCTGCGGTCTTGTCTTCCACACTCGGTTTAAACTAACTTATCATTTGAGCACGAGTCACTTGGACCTCGAACGTAGATTTTCCTGCGGCATCTGCTCAAAGACCTTTTTGACTCAAAGTCATTTGCGAATGCACGAAGTCACGCATATCGAGACGACGAAGCCTTTTGGTTGCGACAAGTGCACTGCGACCTTCCGCTATCGCACGCTCCTCGAGCGACACAAGAAGGTTCACGACGCTACTCGCGATAAGCCTTACTCCTGTCCTCGATGTCCTTTGCGCTTTGAGACGCGTAATGCCTATAACCATCACACCAAGACTCATAAATCTACGAATAACACATTTAACAGCAGCAGCAGCAGCAGGAGCAGCAGCATCGACAACAAGAACAGCAGCAACAGCAGTAAGGATAGTAGCAACAAAAACAAAAGCGATCGCATCAACACAACCGGAGTTAGGACAGTTGCAACAGCTAGAAGCAACATTCCTAGTTCTTCGAGTAAGGATGTACCTAGTGTTTCAGAGCAGCTGACGTTAAGGAACGTGGTAGAGACCGTTGCCGCCGTAGCCGTGACAGTCGGGAATTCTTCCTATCCCTGCGATTCCTGCACCAAAGAATTTCCGACTCTCGACTCCTTGACAAGTCACAAGAGTATTATGCATCGCTCGCGTCCACTCGTGTGCGACGTATGTGGCAAGGGCTTCACCCACCGTAAATATTACGTAGTGCATCAGCGCATTCATACTGGCGAGCGTCCGTATCTCTGCGCCATGTGTGGCAAGTCCTTTACTCAGGCCTCAACGCTGACCGTACATCGCCGATATCATACGGGAGAGCGACCCTATACCTGCACCCTATGCGGAAAAGGCTTCGTCACGCGCACTATTATGCTCAATCACATGAAGAAACACTGAGTACTCCTAGGCCCTTATCTTCGTTCTTCTCGCTTTTGCCTCTTCGTTGCACCTCGTCCTTGCACCCCTCATGCCAGATTCACTATTATTTCGCAGCTTTATGTAGCTTTTGTTATTACAATCGTTCTAAATGAATTTCAGCTTTTCCTGTCGTTATGAACTAGGGACACCATAGAGAATCAATGATCACATCCAGTATTAGCACCATTGCCCATTGCCCATTGCCCATTGATTTTCCATTGCCAAACGGAAAACCTTCAGCTACACTGAAGAATCTAGAATTATACGAGCCACTTATTATTATAGTAACACGCGAATACCCTCACTGTGATACAATTTGTACGTTTCTATGGACGTTGTGGTTCGTATAGAAGCAGAAAGACGAATACTTTGTGTATGTAGATACATTAACAATTAGGTTAATAGCTATGTATATAAATAGTATATTAGTCTACACTGCATATTAGGTCTGATCTCGTTAAATGTAGATGTTGCCTGATGAGAATGTCGACTTGAAGGAAATTTGAAAAACGCTATCAGAGTTCGTATCGATAAAAGAGTGATGGAGAATGGGGGGG